TATGATTCTAACCCCAGAGGAGATCAACTATTAGCTATGTAAGTCACCCAGACCTATTGTCTCCCTTGTACTTCCAACAGCAGAGAAAGCATTAACTTCAAGAGGTGCTGGGGTTGAATATTTTATGAAGTTTATTTGTACTGCATCTCTCCAATTGTCTTTGTTTGTAGTAGAAAGCATGAACAGACTAACAAAAAAATCACTCTTCCCTACATTCATGATTAAAATATCTACAAGAGGTGGATGTACTAGGCACATTTTCAACTAGGGAAAAAGTAGCAAATAGGAAAATTGATACAGATATAACCCTAGACAGAAATTTTTTTCCAAATCTGCCCTGAGACTCAGCCTCTTTGATAAAGTATTTTAATAGCATATTTTAGGGGTGAGGTTTTTAACAGACAAATTGTAGAAATAATAAAGCCCTAACCCACATCATTGCTGACAAATTAGCTATTAAAGCAACGCTTGGGATGGGAACTGCCTACTGCCATATTACAGAATTCACTCTTCTGCATTGCTGTTTACATCCCAAGAACAACACGGGCGCAGGCTTACATTTAAATGCATGCCTGGAGGTGCACAGTTTCCAAAAGCAGATTAACAGCAGTATGACTCCTCATCTTGGGGACTGCAAAGCTTCTCAAAAACCTACCTGGAGGCTCTGCAACCCCTCTGGAGCTCAAGTTTACATGTCCTTTGCAGCCAGGTCTGCTGCAAGCTATAAAGAGAGTCCAGGTCCCTGCACAAATGCCCACACCCAGTCTAGGGATGGGTGGCAAGGGGGACAGAGGAGCAGCCACATGGAGGGAGGATGCTCGGTCGGGTAACGCACCTGAGGACCCAAAATACCAGGAGGAAAAACTACTGCTGCAGAAGTGCCACCAATGCCGTGAAAAACCAAAGAAGCGCAAAGGACAGGCAAGGGCAGTAGTGTTGTTTTTCAGGCTGTAATCACTATGGGCATGGAAGATAAGTTTTCCATAATTCCAGGGGATTTTAATGACAATTAAATAACCTGTCATTATCCTTCTTAACATACAGGTGCATTGAACTTTGCCTACAGAAGCAGTGTTGGCCAAGGTCAGTAATAAAAGAGGTCGATATGAGGAGCCAGAGTGAGAGCAAAGCCCCACGTCTTCAAAGACAACTCCCATGGCATTTATACTTTGATATGACAATGGTGTCTAAAAACAATCATATTTACAGGATAACAGTAAATACAAGTGTTTGCTTCTGGGTATATTCTTTGAAACTCAATATGTGCTGGTAAGTTTAACAGAGAAACTTTCATTCTAGCACAGCTAGGAAAAAAATTATTCTATCACTTACAGGCAGAAATATTTACCCCGAATCCCAGATGCAGACCAGCTATCAGAGTCAGGTCACCTGCAACTGTAGTTAAGACCGTCAGCACTTCCATCATTGCCATATTCCTCTGAATACTGAACAGTTTATACCTTCATTCGTAAAAAAAGTTGCTTTGGGCTCAGGTTTGACATAAAAGTCTTAGCTGAGCAACATCAATGTCTTAAAAATAAACTTTAAAAACAACTTTAAAAACCCAGTGGCTGTTCTCTTTTAGTTACAATTGCCAGACATTTGGCTTGCTTGGCTTGGATTTTTTTCCTCTGCACTCCTGTAATTCAAAAATGTCTTTAGAGCAAGGGAAAGAATCACTCAAATATTTAATAATCAAAAGGAGTTATGTTTAAGTAAGTACCTAACTATACCTGGCACTAAAGAATTCAAACAGCTCTATCAAGTACAAAAGCACTGAATGGTTTTGCAATGCTCAGTGATTTCTTATTTTAAAGGAAGTCAATTGATGTTCTGGTTTGGCAGAGGATGAGCAGATTATGGCTCTACTACCATGGCTTGTGTTGACTTTAGTGGCACTCCATCTATTCATCCTCCCACAAACACATTCTCCGTAGATAGATCAAGGTCTCAATATTTGATAATATAACTGACAGTCATGTTCCTTCACTGTGTACATGGACATCTTCAAGAAAAAGTGCATTTCTATTGTTATGCCAATAAAAGAAGGAAACGGGAGGGCAAACACTTATCCTTTCAGGATCATACAGCAATGCAGATGTTGTGTGTGCTTGCAAAACCTGGCATACAGCCTGTAAGGGCGATGTTTCTGTTGTGCCTTAGCACCTACAAGCATGGCAGGTTTGCTGGTGCAAAACATGTTGGATGCTTTTGCTCACAGCTGAGATGTCCATTGATCTTTCAAGATCAAATAGGCTCACACTACATATAGAAGTAAGCTCTGTTTCTTACTGCCTTGGAAACGCCAACTGGGCTTAGAGTTGAGCTGGGTTTTCTCTCTTGTGTATCTCATTACCACCTGTAACATGAATTCTCCATCTCACCTGACCTCAAGCTAAACCTACAGTTACATCTCTGCTCTTTGCTGTTCCAGAGAGGGTTTACAGGTTCTGACCGATGGGAGAAGAACCTGCCCTGGCTCTACAGCAGCAAAAGCCGAGCCCAGCAGAGCTGCTGCTCCTGGGCTCCGTCAGCTGAAACCTCCCTGCGGTCCTGGGGACACAAGAAACACTTGGCAGGCTGCTGTAAAACAGAGATTTTCTGCAGAAAGTGGCTAAGGTATGCAGGTTGAAAGCCAGTGTCCTACACTGTACTCTGGAGCCTAACATGCCCACAAGTCCTGCCTGCATCCATCTTCCCCGGGTGACCAACACCACAACCCCAGCTCTCAGCCACAGCCTCTTCCTGGTCACCCCAAGACAAAAGTAACCCAACTTACTGGAAATTTGGTCCCTAAATCTCTTCAAAGCAACAAAGAAAGAGAGCTTGCAACATGTGTGCCAAAATACCCAGGGGGTGTGAAACCGCCTGAGTGCCACCACGTTATTTCACAGCCTGCGTATGTGCAGCAGCATGTCCCAGGCAATCACCAAGCAAAGATGGCACATAAAACGGCACAGAAGAGTGCTGCTGGCTGAATGCCACATAGCTCAAAATCCATAAGCCGATACATTTCCATGGTCCCCAAAAAAGATAAGAGTTACTTACAGTGCAAGTACTACAGTGACCTACATAAACACAGTTCTTTTGTAAACAGGAGTCAAGAATGACAGGAACAAGCAGCTAACAGGGAAACGGTGGCAGATTTTAATCATCGTTGGCTTTAAGCAAGCTATAACAACATTCCTGCACCTTTGCCCCCATCCTCAACTCCACCCTACCTGCACGGAGTAGCTCAATTGCGTCTCAAGAAAAATCTCCTCTGCAAAACAAGCATCGTATTACCACAGTCCATTTGTCCTTGGCATTCAAGCAGAGCGGCAGGATTTTCTGAACAAGAAACTCTCAGTTTCTTGGGAGGCTCAGAAATTCACACAATGTGTTTTTAAAGAGCCAGGTCGCTCCTAATAAATAAGAAACAACCTCATCCCTGGGATTAAATGCAGCCCAAAACCTGAACAAGTTACCAAATAAGGGAAACCCAGATCTCTCTCAGTAAATCAGGAAACAGGGGATGCCATAGTAAGTGCCTCTGCTTGGTATCTATTTAGTTGGGTACATTTTAGTGATGTTAAAGGAGGCAAGGGACACCTGGAGAGCAGGACCAGCCTCTTTCAGAGCTACCCAGGGCAAGTACAGTGCCCAGGGAGTACTGAAGATGGTGGGACATCTCAGCTCCCAATCTCACACCCCAGCTACAAGACTGATGCCAGGATGACTCCAGACCCTTCTGCTCTGACCAGCCTGAAAAGAGGTAAAGCCCTTAACTGAAGCCCAGGCCCCACAAACACCAGTTTCAAATGCTACCAAAATTTTATAAAAAATACGAGAATTGGTAGCGGGAAGGAGAGAGGAGCTGGTAATTGGAGCATTTGGGGTTTACTGGCTGGAGGAAAGGGCTAGGTTGGTTTCAACATGTAGAGTTCGTGGTACACAACTGAGCCCTGCCATGGCAGCGAGCTAGGGGAACTGCAGAAAACTACTCACAGTTGTCAAGATCTTTCCTTCATTCTTCTGCACGTAGAGGATCGCATGGCGCACCAAGGAGAAGAGGTTCAGTAGGACATGCTCCATGTCATAGATGCCACGCATGCCTTTGGTCAGCCCCTCCAGGGACCCGATGTACTCTCGCCAGTGGTTATCGATCTCTACGACGCCCGCCAAGCATCCTTGCATCACTACACTGCAGTAGGCAGCACAGGGCTTGGTCAGGAGGAGCCCCTGGCAGTGCGAGCAGTACCACATCTTTAGCAGCGCTCGTCCGCAGTCCTTGCTGAATCTTAAATGGTCAGTAGTGTTTATCACCTCAATCCCCAGGTTGAGTGCCTGCAGAAAGACTCGCGTGGCCTGCAGTGACTTGGACACCTGCGTCATCATCATCTTCGGGTAGTTACCAAAGACCTTGAGGTCTCTCCTGGCTGCCCGCAGGCATTCAGTCATTTCCACAGAGGAATCAGAGAAGCCGGGATTAATCAAGTGAGAGTAAACCAAAGGGAACAAACTGTCAAAAAATTCATTTATCATGTCATTAACACTGATGTCAGAGCCCAGTATGTACAGCGAGACATCAGTAAAAAGTTCTCCAACAAACTTAAGAGCTCTGGGCCCCATGCTCTGGTAGTGGGTCCTAAACATGCTGTTGGTGAAGTTTCTTGCATGCCGTACTACAATTTCAAAGGCTTCTGCAAAACAGAACCAAAACAAAAAGTTATTAGGAGATGATGAGCTCAGAAACAGGGAGGATAACATTATACCGCGTTACTGCTGCAAAGGCTGTTCCCATCCTGCCCGCTTTGGGTCAAAAGCCTGCTGGCGGCCGTGCCTGCTGTAAAACTTACCAGCATCAGCGATTTTCAGGGAAAATGCATACATTCCTTAAACAGAATCTACATTTCAAAATGGCAAAAAAATATGATCTAGGTAACATTTCAGCTTTTAAAGAAAATATTGATTCAAGAAAAGGGCTAGACTGCAATTTATTTCTCGCCCCCTTTCATATTGATTTGAAATTAGCAGGAATTCTGTCTTAAATTAAGTCTCGAGATAGAGATAAATGTTTGACAAAAACTATGCCGTGTTTAAAATCAGGAAACAGTAAATGCTGACGTTCCATTATGAAAAGGAAAATATTTATAGGAGCTTAATCACAGATGATATTTGGACTCAGCCCCCAGCACCCACCCTGCAATAAGTGTCCTCAAAGCCCCTGCAGAGCCACAGCTTTCCCAAATGCACCAGGCTCACTTCAGCTGCAGATCCAACGTTTCATCTGCCCTGGACACAAGCTGCTCTGTAGTCCAAAGCGATGCTGAGAGCCAGTAATGCATTGTCCATCTGTGGGTGTCCAGCCAGGACCACTCTCATACACATCAGCTTGTGCCAAACTGCCCCACAAAGCTCAAGTTTTAGATGAAAACCATTAATTTGCTAGGAAAAGCCAGGGTGCGTTTTTCCCTCTCCACGTTCAAAGCCTTGAAGACTTTCTGCTCACACCTCCATGCAGCAAGCAAGAGACCTCCAGCAGCACAGTCACTATGCTGGAGCGACTTAATTACCTTACTTGCAGCCCTCCTCACCAGGAGGTTTCCAAAGTATCCATACCCAGGTATGTAAAGACAACATACCTACACACACCCCAGTTCGCAAGTTAAAGCATTAGAAGGGGAGGCCATCAGTGCAAATGAAAGTCTTTTCCTTCAGCCAACTCTCTCTACCAGCCTGTGTCCCACCCTCCAGGGTACTATTCATAAAATGCTAAAAATAATGAACAGCTTCTCGGTTCACAGGTCACCGACACCCCGCGAGGTAACCGCTCTCAACTGTGTCACTCTGGAAGCACACATCCAGGCTCAATTTGCATGAAAATTATTCATGTTCAATAATTAAAGGGAATGTTTAATTTTTAAAACCATAAGTGTTATTTTTCCCATTTGTTAAGGCTGGGATGCAGCTGAGCGTGGCCTGACGTGTCTCCACGGGGGTTCGGTATCAACGCTATCACAAGCGATGTCAGGCCTTGCTGCTCGCCCTGCATAACCTCTCCTGTTACTCCAGAGCTTTTGAGACCATCGCATCTCCAGGACTTTCAGCTCTTTCTTACCAGATGCAGCCTACGCAGGCATGCCTGGTGGGACAGGGACCCAATGCTGTTTGCTACCCGCACACCAGCATGCAGAAAGCTACGGTGTAAGCAGCGATCAAAGCAGAAATTACCGATACAGTTTTACAAACAGTACCTCCATCCCATCTGGTGCCTGCACACCTCCCAGGCATGCCACTGAAGCATTCTGTCCACAGCTCCCGACACCCGCACCAGGACTGCCCCAGCAAGCCCAAAGCAACCATCTGCGTTCCCAGATGACAGCGATCCTTCCCAACACCACAGATTGAGGGATGCAGCGGTGCAAGGACATAGAGCCCCTCTCTCCATGCCTCCCTCGCCACGACAGCAGGCATCTCACTCCTTACACCCACACTGAGTATTGCAAAGCTCTCCAGGCACAACGGCATGTCTGACACAGAGCGAGGTAAACACGCAGGCTATGCAAGCACAGCAACTTCTGGCTGCACTGTTATTAAAAGTTTTAAAACAAAAAAAGTCTCTTTAAATAGGGCACATGGATTATGAAACCTTTTTTTTCCTTCTTTATCCCCAAGAGGACCAGAATAGCTTTTGCCTCAAAGAGCACAAAGAACGTTTTGGACCAGTGTTTTTTCGACAGCACTGCAGACGGTGCCAGGATTTTCATGCTGTGCCTCACCATTCGCCTTTAACCTCTTCTCTGTTAGTTCCCTTAGAAAAAGTCATCCCTCTTCCCTTCTCTCTCTCCTCTGTGCTTTGCAAGTTATCATCAGAGCCAAGAGACTCTTCACTGATTAGAAAAATATTCCAAGCTCCTATGCAAACCTCCTACGGCGAGAAATGCTTCAGAAAGGAATCGAGAACAGTGGCGTATCAGAAAAGCATGCACACACAGTCCCACCGCTTTAAAGGTCATGACATGCACATAATTTTTATCATAATAACTGGCTAAGAGTATCTATTTTATGTGCCCTGGAGCTTTTGCATGTATCCATTAGAGTGCGCAACAGGGACTATAAAAGCATACGGAGCCTCTTGCTGCCCTATTAATAGATGCAAGAAATAATAAAACTTTGTAAAAAAAAAAAGTCTTACACATCCAAAATCTCTCACACTCAACTCCCCTAGTAGATGCTTATTCCGAAATACTCCTTGCAAAGGGCTCGCTGCAAGAATACGAAAGCCCCAGCTGCCACCAGCAGAAGTGACCCACGGCCAGACTCTGCGCACTTCAAAGAGGAGGGAACTTTGCGGGTCAGTCCCCTGCTCCCACGAGTGAGCCTCGTGGGGAAACGGAGAGGACGTCGCATTACAGAAGCGGCATGGGCTTCTGATTCCCCATAAAATCCCACAGCCTGGATTTACTGCTGGTAAAATCCGCCCTGCTCATAACATGGCATTACTGAAACTCTTATTGCTGGAGGACAAATGAATCTTTTCTTTCTTCCTTTTTTTTTTATTTCAAGGATATTTTCAAAAGCTGTAATTTAAGGCAGCTGGTTTGCAGGTCTAGCTGAAGCAGAGTAAATACCTTAACAGCACTGATACAGCATAGCGTCAGACTTGCACCCAACTTCCAGCAGGCAAAGGTACCATGCAGCAGAGCTCACATTTTACAATCTCCATCACTTAGCTACGCACACACAGCAGAACTCGACAGTGCCACATGGTTATTTATTTGCTTTTAAAATATTATAGTATGTAATTAGTAGGGGGGAGAGGGACCAAAAAAAACCCCACCACTTTTGCATGCACTAAAATTTAAAAAGCCCTGATCCATGAACCTGGCTCAGGGAGATGACAGCCTGAGCTGCTGCAGGCCACCATGCTGGAAAGTCAGTCCTGCCTGCGTAGCTCTTAAACATGTTTCATCCACAGGTACCTAAAAAAGCTGAACACATATACAAATTGTACTCCAAAGTCATTTCAGTCAGCACAGAGACAAAACCTGGGGGCAATTTAACACCTCACAGCACCACGGTGCTGTACCCCAGAATGGATGGGAAGAAGCATACCATGCTCAGGTGAAACAAAGACACCATATGCAGGATGAGAGCTAAAGCACCGTCACCAGCCAAGCATCATACTTGGTGCACTGGTACTGTACATCTGTTGACTACCTCCGTCAAGGGCAGTTTATCAGGGCTCCCAAAGGATGCATGAAACAGCTGAACCTCTACACCACAGCTATCAGGCACCAGTTGAAAAGCACGGGCTATTACTTATCTTTCCGGCAGAACTCTGGCTGAAGCACCTGGAGAGAAATTTCCACCTGGTTCCAGCGGCCAGGAGGGAAGGACTAAGCTGCTTTCAAAGTGCAAAAAGCTCCCCAGAAGGCAGCCCAGGGAGAGCTGCGCGGCCACTGCAAACTGGCAATTAGAGAAAAGAAAATAAATTGTAAAAGAGCATAACAGTGCCCTGAGTGGGGATTACTGGTAGGACAAGGAAATCGCTGCATTCTCAGCTCAGGTAATAAGAGTCTGCTGCTTCGTAAAAACTCCAGCTTTCCTGAGAAGGCGCGTTCACTCCTGAGCTGCAGCTACTTCAAAGGAGCCGATGCCAGGGCTGGAGGAGCTCCGGATTAACCTGCTGGCTCCCCGAGGCTGCAGGAGGCTCCAGCCAAGTCTGGGACTTGATGGGTTTATTTAAGAGATTATGTGATGCAGTCGCCTGAACTGCAAGGAGCCGGCGTGAGTGACTCCAGGGAGCCATTCCCAGATGGCATCCTCCTGGAGAGGCAAGAGCCAAAATCCAACGGCGGTTGCAGAGCTGTGGCAGCTACACAGACAGCACCCAGCCCCGATCCAGCACCCTCAGGTCTGAGCTCAGCAGGTGTAGCTTCACAAGCAACTGAAGGTATTTGGAAAGGTGCTGCTGCCAAGGAACGGGGAGGTCTGTCCCCCCATGCCGGCTCACCAAAAACCACCACCACAGCAGCCATCGTTGCACCACCACAGCCATGGGGAGAAGGTGTGAGCCGGCACGCTGCAGGGCAGAGGAGAAAGCAGGATCCACCACGGCGGTCAGACACCACAACATACCATGGGCTTCATGCTTGCTCCTCCGTGACTGCGCCACTCTTGTTGTGCTGCAAATGCAAGTTTCCCACTTGGACAGTTGCCCTTCTCTGTGTATCTCACAGCACACCGCACAAGTCCTTTTTGACAAAGGCACACCAAAGATGAGGGAGCTGCACGGCAACACTTGCTGCATCAGCAGCCCATCTTCCATGGTGCACGTGGTAAGGGAATAAACTGGGGTGGAGGTGCAGGATTGTCTGACCCACTCGCCCCTCAGCACACAGACACTAAGGGGTTAAAACTGCACCTACAACCTTGATTTTACTGTTTCTTGACATCTGCTCCCACTGCCCATCAAGAGCTGAGCTCCCAACTCCCATTTACACCTTTGCAAAAGATTGTTTTCTTAAAAACTGGGCAATTGTCTCCCCACATTTAAAGCCTTATCTTGACCACATAAAGATATGCCTTCACAGTGGAGGAACTACAACACGCTTGTTATTCCACTACCAAGAGCTATAGTAAAGACAAGGCTTATTTTTATTTTTTGGGAGTCAGCCAGGTAAGTAATCCTAGACAA